CTCCTTGCAGCCAGGAGAAAATCGATGCAGGATTTTCTAAGGTGTTCTGGGAGGTCTTAGCCCTTGGGGCAGCCAACCCACCTGCTTCTCACTCAGAAAAATCTTGTGGATTTTTATTGATTAACATTCCCATTGAATAGATGTTCACCCCCCGCTTGGAGGACGCACAACTCTAATGATCTTTCCAAAGCGTTGTCCCTGTTCTTCCACGTATTCACAACCTTAGCTCCTGGTGTCCTATATGTGTTTCTTTCAGACCACCCCACCAAGTCTGGAGACAGACAAGAGGGCACTTTCCTCCATGAGCACTGCAGAGCCAACATCCCATGAGCTCCTAAGGGACCGTGCCTCTGAAAAGTGCCTGCCAGCCACCTCCTTCCCCAGCTGGCTGCTGGGCCTGCACCAGCCCTTTTCTTGTGGCGGGTATTTCCCTTACTACAGGACAGAAGGAGAGCTCTGCATCAGCCCGGCTCTGTGTGACAGGTTTCTCACCAGGATAGAGATGTTGGAGAATGAGGAGGGAGGACAAGAGGGAGAAACCAGAATTTGGAATTTTGGTGCCAGCTGCTTGGTGTGCTGAGAACAAAGCAGCGAGTTTGTCAGCAAAAGGCAGAGACTGATTCAATGCGGGCACAAATGAGAAGTTCTTGAAAACTACAACCACATGAACATCTGCATGAGTACAGAATAAAAATGATCCTCCTTTTGAAAACGACAGCAAGTGAGAAGCTGGGCTGTGAATGACAGCAGAAAGCAACAGAGAGGGAAATGCCTTGCTTGGGGGAATCCAGATCTATTTGCTCTGCAAAACACGGCAGAGGAGGAGGGTGCAGATCAGAACTGTTTTATTGTGGCTGATCCCAAAGGCTGGAAGCTCACTTGAGAACTACTTCTGTCCCAAGAGTAGGGTGGAGAGCTGGGTATGTCTCAGCCAGGCTGACCCCTCCTGGTAGCACTCCTTTCGCCGTGCTGGGCACTGATTCCTGATCCTCCTGCAGCACCCGGCTCCTGCTGGATGGGGTTCAAATACAAATTTTGTGCAACTGCACTCAAGACCAAGTGACAGAGGTGACCACGGAGATGAACAAGAGCAAATGCCTGTGTTTACAAAGAGGAAAGAAAGTAAACCCACCTACAAAGACATTAAATGATTTGCAAATGGAAAATGTCCCTTTTATTTTTTACCTGTGCCGTCAGATTGCCCAGTACGAACTATCCTTTTGCCAGGGCCAATGGTGACCTGGTCATGGGAACCCCTGACAGCTGTGAAACAAGTGAATTGAGAGTGCCAGTACAGAAGGGATGTGCAGCCATGGGAAATGGCCAATGGGAAAAAATAAGAATTATTTAAATCTAAGCTGCTTGGAGGAATTAAGCGGAGACATAATTTCCAGTAGGGATTGGGAAATACATTTCCTCTCCCCTCCACTACAATCCTTCCATTGTATTAATGGCATCTGTTAGACAACAGTCATACACAGGAGAAAAAAAAGCATTTTTATTTAAAATCTTTGTCAATAAAACTTTTTGAACACATTTCCATTATGTCTGTCTTCATTTCACTTGCACAGTCTGTAATGAAAATGCTCTTGATTACTTTAATATGTGCAACCACGGGCTTCTATAAAACATCAGTTTTGACTCTGGAAGACTGGACAACGGCATCCAGCAGCAACTTGACTTTGGTGAAGCTTCACTGATTTACACCAGATGAGGATCTGTCCAAAAAAGCCCAACTCAATGTTTTCTTTGCAATTGTGAAATATTGCAACATACTGTCCATACTGCCAACTATGTCACCTCTTTGAGACACCACACAAGTTGATGAAACATGTCTTTTTCCTATTCCTGCTATGTGTGTGGACACTTTCTCTTCAAAATAGACACATTTACTCCAACCATGAAATTCAGTGCATCTTTGAGTGCTTCTGTAATAATTCCATGTTTGTAGCAGTAAACTTAAATACCTCTCTTTAGAGGTCTGCAGCCTGCAGCTAAATGTACTGATGTTACCTATTTTCTCTCAGTGATCCAAGAGGTAAAACACATTGTTTTTGTCTATTTCACATCTCCATAGTTAGACCAGTTTTCTTCATGGGTGCATGTGGCACTGAGATGGGAAAGGCTACAGCCTTGTAAGCCACCTTACAATTTGGTTTATGATTTCTGCCCACTGCACTTGAGTGTTTTTGACAGGTAGGGAAGGGATTTTGCCTCGGTGCTGGGAACCACCAGAGGACAGGAGCTTTGACCCTGGTTTTCCTGCTCTGCACCGCTCAGTATAAACCCCGAAGCACCACTGCTAGGCAGCAGCTCATATATCCCACAGTGGACATGAGCTTGGTGCTGTTACAGGAAACCTGGGGTCAGCCAGACCGGTGACAATTCATCCCAACGTCCACACGCAGCTGCCTGGCTTGGAAGTGGAATGCAAGTGGAGCAGCCAGCGTGCTTTTCCCACCTGCATCCCAACCTGGTGGATACCGCAACATTGTCCTGCCACTCGTCCTCTTCAGTCATCGCCTTCTCACCAAATAACAAGAAAAATCAGGCTCTGGTTGAACTGAGTCAGGCTGTATGAAATAGCTTCTGGTTTTAAGCACAAAGGCGTACGTGTTGGGAACTTTGAAAGGAGGCCATACAAAATACTGTGGGATCATTTCAATTCAAGGGATTGAGTAGAGGAGGGGGGGAATACTGCCTGAAAATGGGGTGTGATTTGTTATGAGAATATTAAATTCAGCCTTTCTATAAATTCAACATATTAAAATAGTTCACACTATGTAATATCAAATCCACAAATCTGTCTTCCTTCCATTACATAAAAACTTCTCTCTATTGGCTGTACTTGATAATTTATGGGAACAACAAACATCTGAAATCAAGGATTTGGGAGATGAGAATATTACATGCTTTACCCTTCTGGATCAGAAAAGCCTAGTTTTAAGCAAATGCCAGCAAATATATCATATGTTGCCATCTGGAAATTGGAGCTGAACAAACCTCACAATTTTAATATATTTTCCATCCAGCTTTGCTCTGAAGTAAAAAGGAAAGGATGGGAGGCAGCGCTGGAAGTTTCTGTGATTCTCTCTAAGGCTTACGCTGCTTTATTACTTTTCCACATAGTTAACATCCTGTACACAGACAGCAAATGATTTTTCTCAAACTGCTCGGTGGATCAGATTGCTACCTTCGAGAGGACATCATGTACCTTTGCCCCAAGAGAGGTCCCCGTCAGCTGGCAATAACAAACCGTTGAGTTCAGCTGAGTGTACTGATAATGTATTTCCTTTCATCTCTCTATTTGAAAAATTCATAATTATTGCTCTAAACCCTTAGTGCTTCAATGTTACTGGTCTTCTAGAGTCTGGAAAAACAATCCGCAATTACTTTGATGCATGCTGTGTAGTCTTCATTGATCCCATTTAAGCTTTTAATCTCATGAATTCACAAAGTTAATTCATAAAACAAACCAAACAAACCACAGCAAAATATGCCCTTTAATAACAAAAGTGGTGATGACCATAACTGTCTTTGGGGATTTGCTCTAACGCAGGTTCTTCTTTCTCAAGAGCTGATGTTAGATTTCATTTGGAAAGGGGAAAAAAGGACATGGTCACAAAAAATTTGTTAATGTTTGTTAATCTGCATACCCCTAGGGAAAAGTCTACTTCAAAGTCAGTAAAATGGTTCACACAGACATTTCAGGGTGTGGAATCTGTCTCTGAAATCAACAAAAAGGCACTTTTTCTTTTAAAGCACTTTAGGCCTTAGATCTTGACACAGTGTCCTAAAATCTATAAGAAAACTCCCTCAGCCTTAGCTACATTGGTCTCGGGCCCCCAATTCCCCCATCTGATGCAAAGTGGCAGGCTGAAATGTTCACTTCTATAACTTGAACCCCAGCAGATGCTATTTTAGGGAGAAAATTAGCTCACCAACATTTAACTATATCAGTGGTGCATCCTGCCCCAAGGACTGTGATTAGCTAAGCTCTCTTTCCTCTCCAAAACCCTGATTGCGTCGACGTATATGACTTAATAACTTCACTTTGAACTCTGTTAGAAACGAAGCTTTTGGCAAGTAGCACTTATCAGAGAGAAGCAGAACCCAGCATTAAACAAAGAGGCTTAAACAGGCCCCTTCCCAGCAAAGTGAGGGGGGAGTGGAAGTGATTCATTAACATGAAACAAGTTGGCTCCCATTCAGAATGGCATTTACCGTGAGTGATGAGAGGATACCTTGAGGTGGTAGAGGAATATATACCTCCCGTACATTGCTGGCAAGCCCACTAGCTGGGGGAACAGCATGGCTGAGACAGGCCGATCCTGTCCTTTGTTTTGCCAACGCAATTTAGAAACCATGTTGAACATCACAAACTATGATTTGCTGAACAGGAATAGGTTTAAGGTACTGCCCAAGGGCTGTGCTGAGAGCTAATAATCCCCAGGAATAAATAGACATACGGATGGATAGGGAAGGAAGAGATGCAAACTCCAGTGATATGAACAGGAGCTGGTGCATCAGGAGACGGAGCAGCTGCGCTCCCAGTCACACCTGGTCCACGAAGCAGATTTGGTTAGTCTGTCTTACATAGAAGCATGTATCTATATCCGTCTACATAGACAGATATCCATCCATCTAGGCAGATTTCATCTCTCTTAATTTTCACCAGAAGGAACGTGTGAGGAATCCAAGTGTGGTTTCTGCCCAGAGCAACTGTTCCCTAGAAAATGAAGAGAAAAGCTGTGCTGGGATGAAGGTGCAGGCTGGTCCTGCCTGTAATCCTTTCCTGGATAATGATACAGGTGGGAACAGATGAGGAGAGAAGAAATAAGCCCCCTGACCTATGCAATCCCCCATAAATCTACCTGTCCCTACCCCAGTGCTACCAGTTCTCATTAACTATCTCCAGGCTCCCAGGCTGCTCGGGGCACTTTTGCCTTTCCCAGGAATGCGAGCTGATGAGGTTTGCAGGTGTGGATAAGGCAGAAATGCTAGCACCTGATACAAGTTATGCAGTCTTTATTTTGGCTTCTGCAGCAGCCATTAGAGTCTCACAGATGGAAAAAAAAGCACGAGCTATGTATTTTAGTTAGCGGTGTTTTATCGAAGGCGGTGTCCTTGGGCTAGTTTCTGCTACTGGTAGATTTCAACGGAGACGTGTATTTCCCAGGACAGCCTTACAACAGGATCACCTGATCTTTGGGTCTCCTCCAAGGTAATATTTGAAACAGCCTTGTTGAGCGGTGCAGGAAATAGCTGTGTTTCTAGTGCTGCTTTTCTGGGCATGTACACCCAGTGCAAGGCGTTCTTGTGCAACTGCTGTTGCATGGAGCACAGCAGCCCGCATGTTGGTTGCCTGTAGTCCGGGGGAAAACTGTGGCATCTTCTCATGCTATTCACTTAGAAAAAAAGAATGCAAAGTCTGGGGTTGGTGCAAAATTGCTTCTGTTGCAACTGGACCAAGGAGCAAGCACGTTCCTTGTTGGGTAATACTAAGCAATAAAGCCAAATGCAAGCAGATAAAATGGAAATTCTTGCTGGAATAAGGTTTGAAGGCAGCTGGCAGTATGTGCAGGACAAAGGGAGTGTGTGGGAACGTGAGGAGTTCAGCTCATCTGGCTGTGAAAATAGACACCAAAATGGCTGGGAGGCAAGGATCAGTGTGAAGGCTGCAGCTCCCTCTCCTTCCCACTCTGAAGCTCTGCAATGGCTGAGACATCAAAACCAAACCAAAACAACAACCAATAAATAAATAAATAAATAGAGCCAGCACAATATAAACCTGAACAACAGGGCTCTGACAGCTGCAAAGTGTTTGAACAACATGTCAGATGGGAAAGTTCATGAAATCTCCTGTATCCCACCGGAGCATGTGAGCTGCAGCTTTTCCTGGTTTCTCTGACCATATTTTCCCCATAGCTGCAATACTGTCAGCATATAGGCTGCGTGTGGATCCCAAGGAGAGGGGAAATCAACCGGAGGAATCGACCCGGCAATGCAAAGAATGAGGATGCTATGCTGTCTGTTACACCAGAGGCTGTGCTCCACGTCCTCACCTGTCTCACTGCATCCTCCTGGGGACTCCACACAGCCACAGACCTTTGGGTTTGCTCCCGAAGTCCTCCCCATCGAGCAGCAGTGTGTTTGCTGCTTCCTTTGAAGACCTCACTTTCTTACAGTATCCTCACAAATGTGTGTGCGAGGTCAAGGTGACAGCGCCTCCCTCCAAGCAGCTGCCCTGTTAGCACCTGATACTGGATAATAATAATGATTAATGAATCTTAATCTTTCTGTCACAATTCCCTTTCATTAATATTTATATCTGGCAGATGTACCCCCAGGGGGGAGCTTGAATTGCTAAGTATTATACTGCTATGTACAGCTGGTATTTTATGCAGCAACTTCGAGGACATTCTTCTAAACAACTTATTATGTGCAATTTTATTTTCAACTCGTTGTTAATGCTGCCACGTGTCAGACTAGAGAAGAATGTTTATTTTAGTCCCACTTATCTGATGAAGTAAAAAAACAACAACACTGAATACCAACATTTTCAGGGAAAAGGATCTGATGTAAAAGAATGAATGCATGCATGCTTAACCAACTAGCATTATTACAGAGGTCAAGCTCAGCTACAGAGACACCACTGAGCCTCCTAATTACAACAGGGTGTAATTTAAGGCATCTTTAGCAGCCGGTGATTTTAAACGTGTGCCTTTTTCTGGTTAGATGTATGTGTTCAGCTGCTAAAAAAGTCTTGTGAAGCACTTTTGGAAGAATAAACATTCAATTAAATGATCTAGTTGAGTCCTTATAATTGGGATGAAGTCTGTTTATAACTAATTCATAATACAACATCATTAGCCAAATGATTAATTGGTAATTACTCTATGAAAACAAATTAATCACCATGCTTCCCAAGCCATGATCCTCTGTCTACACTGTAGCAAGCCATTTGGCTCCGGTCTGTGATTGTCTTAATTTATTTCTAGTTATCCATCTAAGTCTTGGCTATTCAATTTGGAGAAATCTCCTCCCGGCTCTCAGCAATGCTCTGTCAGCTGCAGCAATAGCCAGCATGAAAACCATTTGCCATTTTTTTAATATTTTATTACCTTCCCCGGGCAAGTCTGAACCCTGACTAGGTGGATATTATTTCTTTGATTGTGCTCTCATTTGAAAGTAAGAACATGAATCTTGTGATTATATCCACATAAAGACTATGAAAATCGGCAGATGAGGATATGAAATACGGTCAGCCTTTGTGTTTGAAGCAGTCCTCAGCCTGCAGAGACTTCAGCTTGGGAGTCAGACTGCGCAAAATAGCTTCTAGATCATGTGGGCGCAGAGAAAACACACACAGGTTGTATGTAAAAAAATAAAAATAGAAGTCTGGTGAATGTTTCTAAGTTGTTCTCAGGGACTGACAGAAATGTCCCCACAGCTGTGACAGTGTGGTAACGGTGTCCAGCCGTGTGCTGATCGCCACAAGGAGCAGGCCAGGGCCTGAGGCCCGCTGAGGCAGGCCGAGCCCCGCAGGCCCCAGGCACGGCTCCTGCTTCCCTCAGCAGCACCAGGAGCTCATTTCAGGGCCATACTTGGTCTTCTTGGTGGCACTGATGGCTGTGCCATAAATCAAGCAACCTGGACACTGTGGCTGGCCTGCTCGGCCTCTGAATTTCACAAGAAAATTTCGCAAAGGGTGTGTTTGTGCGACCAGGCAGGCACTTGGGGTGTACAGCCAGCCCCTGTGAGCGGCTGGCTCAGGACCTGAGTCCAGCAGGGACATATCCCACAGAGGTGTCCAGATTAACCACACATCACCGCTGCCTGACGGGACGGTAGCCAAACAGCCCCCAGATTACCAAAATCAGATCTACCTGAAGCTCCCTGATGGGTCGGGTTTCTAGCACTGAGTGCCACCTTCTGAGAAAAGCAATACATGAAGGCGATTGCTGCAGCAGCCAGAAAGTGGGTAAAAGCCCCTCTCTCTGGGTGGTAACACGGTGACAGCACTTCACTGGATAGTTTGCACCAAAAAGGAGGACTACACTGTTAAGTGACACAGAAGACATCAGTTTCCTCACGCTCTAGGTATGATTCATAGCAGATTTAGCGTTTTAACAGAATAAGTAGCTTCACTGATGTGCTAGAAATGAGGGTCGAGCCTGTTTTTCAGCTTGGATACTCCAGGGACCCTGTGCTGATTGCCAGATTGCTTCCTGGATGAGAGCGTGACTCGGCCATCAAACATTTTTTTACCCTTTGTATTCAGTTTTATGTACCCAAAGCTGCTCCTAATGGGGTGCAGATGTTTCTCATACTCAGTTATCACGGAAAATGGACAGGAGAAGGAACTACTGAAAACTCTGGAGGAGCTGAGGGGAAACCACGGCACTCTTGAATCACTAGCAAGGAAATAGCTAATGAGTGTTTTTTTTCTTTATTTTTATTTTTATTTTTCCCCCTCAAAAATCACTGCTGCTGTCCCATGGGGAAAAAAGGGAGACAGAAAATAGGGTGATATTGCTCATGGATAATCAAGGAACTCTAAGGTTTAATAAAACATGAAAACTCCTACAACAAAGAGGAGAGGAGGCAGCGGGGAGCCTGGCAGTAGGTCCATGCAGGAGAGGTACTGCCAGGGTGCTAATGGTACCACCAGTGCTGCTGGCACTAATTGCAGCCCATTCCCTTCAGATTCCCCAGTGCCCACACAGCCAGGGCAGCTCTGCAGACAGAGCCAGGATGCTGAGTGATGGGGATGAAGAAAGCACGTCCAGCCAAAGCACCTCCAGCTGCAGTTTGGGTCGCACAGGCTGGAGGAAGCACTGCGCAGTAGCAAGCAGCTAGTGGGTGATAAAACAAGCTGAGTGTTCCTGTTTGCCTTCATGCCGAGCATTTCTGTACATCCAGTTTTTGGTATGATTTGCATGATTTTCATCCTTTTTCCACTGAGCAGCAACAGCAGATGGAGTGGGAAGATTCTGTGGGGTAGTTCAGCAAATGGTCATCTGGTGCTTCCTTCAAGTCTCTCACCAGGAGCATTTTTCTCACTCTTGTCTTTCGTCTCTGCCTTTTTGCAATCTCACTGCCCTTGCCATTGGAACCTCATGCCCCATCCAAGCAGTGCCGAGGCTGGAAATGGGAGCTTTCCCTCCTTCCCACCCTGCACAGCCCCAGCCTGTCTTTGGGAGGGTCCTCACTCACCCGTGTCTTCTGCCCCAATCCTCATGCAGCAGCAGCAACAAAAATTGGATCAGCTTTGGACTTATTCCTCTGGCATTACTCTTTCTGACAGGGATAGGCAGAAAGCCAGAGAAAAGATGCTGAAACTTATATCAAGCAAATAAACCAGACCAAACCAACAACCAACCAAACCAAACAGACAAACAACAAACAAACAAACAAGTAAAAAACCACCTGGGAAGATAACTGTATTCCATATATACAAATGTCACAGTCCAGACTGGAAAGGGCATTTGCCACCCTTGGCCCTTCCAAACCAGTCTGTCGGCTGCATCTGCTAGTTGGCACCTGCATGTACTCACTGAACGGAAAATAATTGCTTGTGTGACAAACCAAATGCTGCAAATCGCGGTCCTGAGGTGGTCTGCATCAGAGCAGAGGCATGGAAGAGCTGCTGCAGCCTCTGCTGGACAGCAGGATCAGAGGGAACCCGAGAGCAACCAGGAGTAAAACCGTGGCAGGATTTTTAAGGGAAGAAAACAGCTTTTTAAACCATTGCATAGGTGTTGATGAGGAAGGCATATGCATTTAATGTTGAAATGAAATGGATTTAAAAGCTACTGATAAAAAAAATGATCTCAGTGGCTGAATCCTGTGAAAGCACCTCCAGGATATTGTTGGTCAGATAAGTCTCACCTCCATGGCCGCTGCCTGCCACTCATGTCCCTGTCCCCATCCCTGTATGCTCCCTGCAAGCCTCATAGTGGCACCTACAACCTGATGGCAATTTTTCCTGAATTAGGGAAAAACAAAGGAAAGGACAGCCTGCTTTTGTCATTAGTTTGAGCAAGAAGGTGCCTTTGCAGACAGAAAATGAAGGTTTGAATGACACCGAAGGAGGGAAATACTTGTTAGTGCCTCCTGAAAGGTGATGCTGGAGCCCCGATGGGTGAAACCCCTGAGTCCTGTCTCCATTTGGGACCACCCCTGGTGCGCAGCTGAGGAGCTCCCCCTGCAGTCACCGAGCCGCCCGGATAAACCCAGCACCACCGAACCGCTGTAACCAGCATCCCATAGAAATGAGAATAGACTCATAAAAATGAGAATAGACTTATATATTAAGAGAAACGTGCCGCTGTGCTCTCGGCTTGTTGTGCGGCCCCTCTGGCACACAGAGCATCATCTGCACCGCCTGGGGAAGGGCCGGCACCGATGCTCCGGGGGTCCCGTGGGACAGAGCCGTGCTCAGCCCCTCAGCTGCATCCAGGAGCCAGCAGGTGCTTTGGGCATCCAGGCAAACTCCCTTATTTTTAAGTTCCCCTTGCAATGCCTGCTCTGAGGAAAAATGAGGAAGCATGCCAGTTAATCAGAAGCACGAGGAGTGAAGTGTTGCCTTGCAGGAGATAGGGAAATAGAAATAGGTTCTTTAAAAACCCTCAAAGAATAAAGTTTCTCCATGTGTTGCGATTTAGTATCCAAGCAATTTTAAGAGACTGTTGCATAGGGCTGAAAAATCTTTAGCTGCTAGGCTCAGAAGGAAGTTTTTAGCTGAATGACCAAAAACATTAATTTTTCGTCCCTAGTACCTTGGGCCCGCATATTTGATAGAGATGGATGCACCAAAGCTGGTCTGAGGAGCTGATGGGGGAACAAAGGGCCTGTGGAGGGATGGTTGTCATGGTAACTGCTCAGAAAGCACTGAAAAAAAGGCTTTTTTTTTTTTTTTTTTTGGGCTGGGTAGTTTATTATGTTTCCTTTTGGTGGCACTGTCTGCCCAAATATTACCAAATCACCAGCTGCTGGAGCAGGTGGAAATCCCTCCTGTAGGTCTGGCTCCCGCAGGTCCCTTGTCGCTTGTAGAAAATGTATCACAGCAAACTTCCATTTCTTTCCCCAGGTTTTGGAGGAAAGGTGCCGATCAGGTACCGATTACAGTCAGGCAATTAGCCATCACTGCAGCAGCAATAAATATCCACCGGGAAAACCAGAGAGCAAATCCTATGACTGCTCCAGGCTCAACCTGAAGTTTTTGTGCATAACTTTGTTCTGGTAGCAGTCACACCGAGGGGCACTGTGAAATAAGGGCTCAGAGTAATGAGCCTTTTGCAAAAATAACACATTCTGAAGAATCAGAATTTCCTTGAACTTTGGGTAAATGTCCCAAAGGCATGGTGAGCTCCGAATCATACAGTTCTAGCGGGACAAGCCTCCGGACAAAGCAGTAGCTCTCACGTAGCCCTGCAGCTTCTCACTGAGCACTGAGGCAGATCCCTCACTTCGTGCCTCACCAGCCCCGACCAGCATCCTGAGGGACTTGCTGGGGCTCCTGATGTATAAGGTCAGATACTTGCCATAAAGAAGTTGAAGGGTGAATTCGTGGCTCAGGCACAACCACCAGTATGTCTTCAGCAGAGACAAGGCTCCGCTTCTAATTTTCCAGTTTTCTCTTTTATTTTTATTTTTTTAGTTTGAGTCCTTCGCTGCTGCTATCTTCAGTTTTTTTTTTTTTTTTTTTGTTTCACTAGTGGTGAACTTGTGAGTCCTTCCAACACGGATGAACACGAATTCTTCCTACAGTCTCTGCAGTGAATTAATGGAGCTTAAATAGG